GGGAGACCTAGACGTAGATGGGAGGATAATCTCAGGCGGGATCTATGGGAGATAGGAGTCGAAGGAGACTGGATTTTGTTGGCCCAGGACAGGGTCCGGTGGAGGGCTTTGGTTAATTCGGTGATGAACCTTCAGGTTCCCTAAGCCATCTAGTTGGTTGGGTCCACTATTTGGGAAGCCTGAGAGGAAGAGATCTCTGGGGAGACCTAGACGTAGATGGGAGGATAATCTCAGGCGGGATCTATGGGAGATATGAGTTGAAGGAAACTGAATTTTGTTGACACAGGACAGGGTCCGGTGGAGGGCTTTGGTTAGTTCGGTGATGAACCTTCGGGTTCCGCAAGCCATCTAGTTAGTTATCTTTCTAATAGCATTGGCAGCAAAAACACATCTAATTAATCGCCATAAATGTGTATTTTTCCCTATGTATCCAAGTAGACACCTATCCTGAGAGAATCAAATGTAGAAGAAAAATTAATTTTATTTTCAAATATATTAATAAGGGATAGGGATTGTAGTTACCGGAGCCTGGAAAGAAATGTCAAGAGATTCAGTCTAAGTAATATATCTTATTCTTGACCTCGGCACTAGATGGGGGTGAGTGGTCAGCTTCATGCCCCGGCCGTTTTTTACGCCCAGGAAAGGATCCCGGTACCTATTGGACAGGAGGCTGGGTGGGCCCCAGAACCGGTCTGGACGCAGAGGCTAGAGAAAAAATCCTCTGTCCCCATCGGAGATCGAACCCCGGTCGTCCAAACCAATTTTAATTTTATAAGATTTTGAGAGTATAAATGGGCTTTTAGAAAATTAGAATACTCAAAACTTCAAGACGAATTATTCGAAAGTAAATGTTAAAAATACAACGGGCACATTGACTCTCAGGAACAAAACAGTTTCCTATAGTTGCTTAAGGCAGCACATGAAGAACGTACAGAATATTCATCTGAACAAGAGGTAGGCAATATAATCAAATTAATTCAAACTTATTTATGTATATCCAAATGAAATAAAAACAGTCATCTTTCAGACAATCCAATTCTGTGGCTATCGACTTGTTGAGTTGGGCTCTGGGGATTTCTTGTTTCCGTGCAATGCAGTTAACAAGATTGTGGTTCAACACCGGGAAATAAGTATTTTATCCAGCAACTGTTTGCGTTACCATTTAATTCGTATCGACACAGATGAAAGCAAGCAAAGAAGTAACCTAATACACATTCACTGTCATCTCTGGGTTTCACTAACAAACGATATGATTTCGTTGGCGATTAATCGATTTATCGTTGAAGGAAATATTATTCATTTGCACTGATGCCCTATGTTTATCATGTTGGCATGACCGCCTCCCGGTTCGAGATATTGATTGCTATATCGATTGTATTATAGCATTTAAGGCTGTTAAATCAGTAAACATTTAGTTATTTATTTCGAAATTATAGCCACGGTGGTCTAGCGGTTAGAACGCTGGCCTTGTAATCCTGGGGTCTCGGGTTCGATTCCCGGCGGTGCCCGAATTTATAACTTGTGTAGGGCAAGGCCGTGGTCTAGGCAACACGGAGTTTTCCTCCGGGGGCTTCCCCGGTTTCTCCGTGCCATCCCAACAATTACTCCATTCACACACAGAAGAAGGCAATGGCAAACCACTTCTGGATCATCTGCCAAGAACGTATATGAACAGGTCCCAGTCCGAGAAAAGGAGGGAAGGATCCTGT